TCACTGCTCTAAATCCTGTCTTCAGCTCAATGCAGAAAATCAGCTGCATAAGGTTTTGAGTACCCTAAAATGAAAACTTCCAGTATGCAAGAACTGGATTAGTTTTGTCAGCAACAGATGCCTGCTGCCTATGACAGAGCTGGCCCATAACAAGGGTTCAATAATTATTAAATGAATCAATGAGTATACATAATTAGCTAGACTGACCCTGAAGAAAGACAAGATGAAACTATGAGAAGAAAATGTGAAATAGTTTATTTATCAAAACACTAAATAGGTGCTTAGACATTCTTAAAGTTAATTCAAAATTTATTTCACATGTTTTTAAAAAGGTAAAGGCTTATCATAAAGAAGACAAAGAATCCAAGGGAAAAGCATAATTCTGGAGTATAGTTTATATATATATATAAATATATATTATATATATATATATATATATTCCATGATGTGTATAACAGCAAAGTTGCCTTTTTCAATAATCTTTAAAGTTCTCCTGGGGTGGAAGAGATAAGCTAAGAAATTCATTTCCCAGGATAGCAGCCACAAATTTTCTACCAATCAGAAAGTAGATGCAGAATTAGTTTAATAATATATGCTATTTTAAAATGCCAGCCTAATATTAGCAGGAAGACACATCCCAGGCACAAAGAACAGCTCCTGATAGTGTATTTCATGATATGCTGATCTGGCCAATGCTTCTCACAGTAGGTCGAAGGCTGAGGCAATACCCACCCAGAACTTGAGAGGAAATAAATTTCTATAGCTCAAAATTACACGTAGCCTTCCCAGTGAAATATCATTTCTCAAATTCCCAGTTCTAACGTGATTTATGACACACAGAACACTTTTATGAGAGCCGGCCAGCACTTCCATGCCTCTGATTTTGAATAATTATTTTTAGGTTGAAAGACTTTTACTGTCTTCCTATTACTTTTGCCCGTAAGTAAGCCAGGTTGTTATTTTTCATTCCCTCTTTGTTTTAAAACATGGAAATAGTTCTCAAAAAATTATTTTCAGAGGCAAACAATTACTCAAAAGCTGATCTGGAGAGAAATATTTCTGTTATTGCAGTCTCAGGAGCATCATTAAATCTGATGGAGCCTGGCTGGTTGTCTGGGGCAAGCACAGTCTCACAGATGCCTAGGTTCTAAGTCACCTTCAATGCTGGCTGGGGGCTCTCACTGACACCATTCACTGTGACAGTCCCCAACTTGTCTCTCTTTCATCCACACCATATACAACAAACCAAGTGAAATCATAAGCATAAATTAAACCTCGCTCTTCTGCTTAAACTGGTTCTATGGCTTCCTTGATTCATAAAATGAAACCAAAAGCTTATGCTTTTGGTCCTTAGTGGTACTCGTGATCTGGCTCCAGCTCTTTGACCAGAAAAATATAAAAGTTTTCAGAAAGAGCAACTGACGGACAGAAGTTACTATTTTTCTACATGGTCCTGGCCTAACAGTTCTATCATGGAAAGTGACCGTCAGGCCCCCTTGCACCACCTCTCCCAGTGCTCTTAAACCAAGTCCCCTGCCCATTGTCTTCAACCTCCCTCGTAAATCAGCCCCTTGCCTTAAATCTATTATTTGTTTTTGTTATTTTGCTAAACTTGTCTCTGGCACCTGGCTAGGAGCAATGACTATGGAGCTGAAGTAGAACTTTGATTTGAGACTTTGGGGAGAAGTATGCTGCTCACTCACCTATTCTAATCATATTGTGGCTTTTAATTCAGTAACAAAACTTCATCCTTAACTATAATTCCAAATCAATCTTCTCACATATCAAGAAACAGAAGAAAGCTCCTCTTAAGTGCTTCTTTATGCCTAAGCAATGAACTCAGTGAGAAGCAGTCTTCTCGTAGGCTGTCAGTCCCACCAACTCTGTCGCTCATAGTTTCTTCACTTCTAAATGTCTGCTTCCACTCCTGAGGCACCAAATGTTCTGGTGCATATGGTGAGTAGTTAGGACCAAGCACCATTTTATCTCTCTCAAATTCCTATGGTAATCCCCGGTATAGAAATGTTAGAAAACCTCCATGGTTATTATGCTTACGCCAGGAGCAGGGAAATAAGAGATTCTATGCAAACCTTCTGAATTCTACAGGAGGTTCAGAAAAGAGAAGACCCTGGTCAAAAATAGCAGGTAAGGATCGGCATTGTGGTGCAGTGGGGTTAGGCTGCCACTTGGGATACCTGCATTCCATATTAGAATTCCAGTTAGAGTCCAGCCTCCTCTACTTCTGATCTAGCTTCATTTTAATGCATCCTTGGAAGCAACAAATGATGGCTTAAGAACCTGGGTACCTGTAACCATGTGGGAGTCCAGCATGAAACTCAGGGCTCCTGTATTTGGTCTGGTGAAGCCTTGACTATTGCCTATTGCAAGCATTTGGAGAATGAACTAGCAAATGGAAGACTGTTACCCTTATCTCTCTCCCTCTCTGTCTCTGTCTCTGTGTTCATGTGTGTGTGTGTGTGTGTGTGTGTTACACTGCCTTTCAAATGAATAAAAATAAATAATTAAAAAACATCAAGTGGTGACAATGAACTTGGAGGAATCAGAGCTGTTTCTCAATATCTCCAAAAAGAAGAAAAATGGAATCAATAAAGATGAAGCTCAAAGACCAATAATACTGATCGCTGAGACTCTCACAGTCCACTAAGGAAGACCTCTCTTCCTTCCTCATTTATTGATAAAAATTCAAGGATATTGTCAAGTATAGTAATTCATTTGGTTGTAGCAACAAGGTACTGTTGCCCTATTAAGTAGGGATATTTATGGTTATTTAGTGATGGATAATCCTTGATATTAATTATTGATATTTGCAAACTTGAACTTCTTGCCTTATGACACCTATGAGAACAAATTGCTTATCAATCAACCCACATTCTCAATGCTGGCATACTGACAGAAGCCCAACCATTTTCATCAGATTTATTGGATGGCACCATCATGGCCAGATCTCACCTTGAATTATAATTTATAATAACATTAGAGTAATAAATTTATAGCTGATTGATCACATTTGACTACTAAATAAGCAGTGATGAAGAAAGCATTACAATATTCATCATCAGCCATGGGTTCAGAACTAATTAGTGATGATTTTGTGATGCAAGAAGCTCTGAAATACTTCTGATTCCAAGGATTTCAGATAAGGGATATAAATACATACACATACATATATAATAGATGACTACATATATACATGTATATCCTAGGTATATATAAATACACACTTCCTTATATACTTAACTCTGAGTAACAGAATGGAAGAGAAATCAGATAATTAGTAGGCTAAGCTTGAGCCTGCTACCAAAGAGTGTAATTCATTAGGTCTGGGAAGGAGCTCAGAAACTTAAGTTTTAAAAAGCACCCAGATACATTCTAAGTCAATATACAGGGTTCACTTTGTAAAACTATGGTATAGACTCTGTCCCTCTGCTGCCACTCCTGACAAATTCTCTACTCAGCCAGCTTTTCTGCCAGCTACTGGTTAACCAACTCCACCTGATTCCTCTACCAGTAAATCTGAATATGTGGTCCTAGTTTTTCCCAAGTGTATACTACTTTATGTTTTGAAATTCAGGCCAGATAATCTTTACGTTATTCCTAAGCATATAAATTCAAACAAAAAGGATGTCCACTTTTGACATTCTTACTCAAAATAGTGTTGGAAGTATTAACAAGTGTAATTAGGAGAGAAAGATATAAAGGTCAACCAAATTGGAAAAGAGGAAGTCAAAACATCCATGTCTGCAGATGTCATTATTTCACATATAAAAACGCTAAATAGTATACTAAAAAGTTGTTAGAGCTGATAAAGAAATTAGGTAAAGTTAAAGATTTAAAAAATCAATGTAGAAAAAGGCGGTATTTCTTTTTAAAGATTTATTTATGTATTTGCAAGTCAGAGTTACACAGAGAGAGGAGAGGCAGAGAGAGAGAGAGGTCTTCCATCCAATGGTTCATTCCCCAATTGGATGCAACAGCTGGAGCTGTGCCGATCTGAAGCCAGGAGCCAGGAGTTTCCTCCAGGTCTCCCACACAGGTGCAGAGGCCCAAGGAATTGCTTGGGCCATCCTCTACTGCTTTCCCAGGCCATAGCAGAGAGCTGGATTAGAAGTGGAGCAGCCGGGTCTCAAACCAGTGGCCATATGGGATGCCGGCACTTCAGACCAGGGCATTAACCTGCTGCACCACAGCACCGGCCCCGGGTAGTATTTTTATACATTAATAATATTCTTGCTGAAAGGGAAAGCAAGATAGCGGTTCTATTCACAATAGGTACAAAAATAAATATTTAGTAATAAACTTCACCAAAGAAGTGAAAACTATAAAATACTGATGAAAAAAATCATGAAGGACATAAAAAGAATGGAAAGATACTCTGTGTTTGTGTATTGGAACAATCAATATTTTTAAAATGCCCGTACTACTCAAAGTAATCTACAGATTCATGCAATATCTGTGAAAATACCAGTGGCTTCCTTTATAGAACTAGAAAAAATTCCTTATACTTATATGGAATCACAAAAGACCAGAGTAGCCAAAGTGATAATATGAAGAAAGAAGGAAGGGAGAAATAAGGCATGCAAGCAAGCAACAAGCCAGAAGGAGACTTCATGACATCTAACTTCAAAGCATATTACAAAGCTTCAGTAATCAAAATAGTGTGGTACTGGCAGAGAAACTGAAACATTAAAAACCATGAAGTTGCTTTAAAAAAATAACAATCCAGGATATAGGTGTAGGCAATTTTTTGGACAAGACTCTTGAAACAGAAGCAACAAAATGAGACAAATAAGATTATGTCAAGCACAGAAGATTCTGCAGAGCAAAGTATTCAATCAACAGAATGAACACAATCAATACAATGGGAGAAAATATTTGCAAGCTACTTATCCAACAAAGAATTAGCATCCAGAAAATATGTCACTAAAAACCTCAACAATAAGAAAAGTCAGTCCATTTAAGAACTGCATGAAGGTGAGCAAAAACATATAGAACGCTTCATGAATTTGCATGCCATCTTTGCACAGGAGCCATGCTAATCTCTCCATCTTGTTCCAATTTTAGTATATATGCTGAAAATATCGTATACCTGCACAATATAGTACTACACAGCCATAAAAAGATTGAAATCCTGTATTTTTGCAACAAAATGCATACAACCAGATATCATTATGTTTAGTGAAATAAGCCAATCCCAAAAAGATAAATATATTTTCTCTGATATGTGGGTATTAATATAGAATTTTAAAAATGAGAATGAAACTTTCATCTTATGAATTGACTATTGTTTTTAGCACTTGACCATACTCCTGCAGAACAGTGGTCTTTCTACTCTTACTCATTAAACATTATGGTGAGTGGTGCCATAATCCTGTGATTATAAAGTAAATTGAAACTATGTCATTGAGAAAATTAAAGGAAGAAAAAGGAATGAAGGGGTGGAGGGAGAGGAGGAGAGAATGAATTATGATTATAGAATTTTATATATATGAAAGCTGTTTTTATATATTGATAAACATTTTTAAAAAGAAAAAAGTAAAAAAAAAGAGCTGAGCATAAGACCTGAGTAGACATACCTCAAAAAGAATTAATAAAAATTGCCAATGAATATATGAAAAAAGTTCAGTATCATGAGCCATCAAGAAATGCAAATCAAAACTTCCATGAGGTTAGCCATTCTCAAAAAGACCAAAAGGAACAAATAGTGATGAGGATGTGGACCAAGGGAAATTCCTATACACTGTTGATGGGAATGTAAATTAGTATAGCACTATGGAAAACAGATAAAGACACGACAAAAAACTAGAAATAGAATGGCTATATGATCCAGCAATCCCACTAGTGTGTATGTGTGTGTGTATGTGTGTGTATGGCATGAAATCATTTTATCAAAGAGATACCTGCAACAGCATGTTTATTGCAGGACTATCTACAATGACCAAGACATGAAACCAACCAAGATGTTCATTAACAAATGAATGAATAAAGAAAAATGTGATAATATTTCTTAACTTTTTTTATATAAGGTGAACTATTTCATCTATTGCATATATATATATATACATATATATATACACACACACACACACACACACACACGCACAGAGACAGATTTAGGAACATCATAATACTTTCCACCCTAACCTCTTACCCATGTATGCTCCCACCCTCAGTCCTCCTTCCTTTCTTATTCTTTCTTTTAATTTTTATAATGACATAATTGTAGTTTATTTTATATTCATATGATTAACCTGCACTTAGTAAAGAATTCAATGAAAAATAAGGAAAAAAACATTGTTCTACAACAGTAGAGATAAGGGCTATAAACAATAATCAATTCTCAAAATGTCAATTTCACTAATATACAGTACATTTTTGTATTCCATTAGTTACCACAAATCAGGGAAAACAATATTTGTTGGTATAATGGTTTCCAGTTGCATCATTTTGTTGTAAAAGATGGGATTTCATTCTTTTTTACAATTGAGTAATATTCCATAGTGTATCTATATCACATTTTCTTTATCCAGTCATCAATTGATAGACCTCTGGGTTGTTGCATATCTTAGCTACTGTGGATAGAGCTGCAATAAACATGGGGTACATATAACTCATATACTGATTTTATTTCATATGGATAAATTTCTAGTAGTGGGATGGCTGGGTCATATGGTAGATCTATTTTCAGACTTGAGAAACATCTCCATACTGTCTTCTACAATGGCTGCACTAGTTTACATCCCCACCAACAGTGGGTTCAGGAAACTTTTCACCTACATCGTTACCGGAATTTATTGTTTTTTGATTTCTTTATGAGAGTCATTCTAACTGGGGTGATTTCCCTGATGGCTAGTGATCCTGAGAATTTTTTCATGTGTCTATTGGCCATTTGAACTTTCTATTTTGAAAAATGCCTGTTTAAGTCCTTCACCCATTTCTTACTGAATTGTTTGGTTTTGTTGAGTTTCATGAGCTCTTTGTAGATTCTGAGTGTTAATTCTTTATTAGCTGCAGTTTGCAAATATTTTCTCCATTCTGTCAGTTGTCTCTTCACTTTGTTAAGTGTTTCTTTTGCGGTGCAGAAGCTTCTTAACTTGGTGTTATCTCATTTGTCTATTTTTACTTTGATTGCCTGAGCTTCTGGGGTCTTTTCCCAAAATACTTTGCCTATGCTAATGTCTTGCAGAATTTCCCCAATGTCCTCCTCTAGCTATTTGATGGTAACAGGTCACAGATTTACATCTTTGATCCATTGTGTGTTGAATTTTGCATAAGGTATAAGGTTTCATATTTCTATAAGCAGAGATCCAATTTCCCCAACAGCTTTCTCCAGGGATTGATTTAGCTCCTTTGTCAAAGATTAGTTGGTTGCAAATGCATTGATTGATTTCTGGGGTCTGTTCTGTTCCACTGGTCTACATGTCTATTTTTATGCCAATACCAGGTTGTTTTGATCATAATTGCTCTGCATTGTATCTTAAAATTTGGTATTGTGATGCCTCTGGCTTTGTTTGTGTTGTATTGTTGAAGATTGCTTTATCTATTCAGGATCTCTTGTATTTACATATCAATTTTAGCATTGCTTTTTTCTAGATCTGACAAGAATGTCATTGAAATTTTTAACTGGGGTTACATTGAATATATAAATTGCTTTTGTTATTATGGACATTTTGATGATGTCAATTCTTCCAACCCATGAACATGGCAGATTTTTCTATTTTTTGTGTCCTGTTCTATTTCTCTCTTTAATGGTTTGTAATTTTCATTGTAGAGATCTTTCACCCCCTTAGTTAACTGTAGTCCAAGGTATTTAATTTTTTGTAGCTATTGTGAATGGAATGAACTTACAAATTCTTTCTTAGCCATGGCATTGTCAATACAATCAACCATTAAAGAAGAAATTCTGTTATTTAGTTAAAAATGGATTGAACCAGGGCCAGTGCTGTGGTGCAGCGAGTTAACACCCTGGCCTGAAGCACAGGTATCCCATGTGGGTGCTGGTTCTAGTCCCAGCTGCTCCTCTTCCAATACAGCTCCCTGCTATGGCCTGGGAAAGCAGTACAAGATGGCCCAAGCCCTTGGGCCCCTGCACCTAAGTGGGAGACCTGGAAGAGGTTCCTGGCTCCAGGCTTCGGATTGGCACAGCTCTGGTCATTGTAGCTAATTGGGAGTGAACCATCGGATGGAGGATCTCTCTCTCTCTCTCTCTGTCTCTCTGTCTCTGTCTCTCCTCTTTCTGTGTAACTCTTTCAAATAAATAAATAAATCTTTTAAAAAATGGATTGAACAAGAAAATGTTAAGTGTAATAAGCCAGAACAAACAAAATACTGCATGTTCTTCCTCACATGTAAAAACTAGAAAACATTTAAAAGCTTCCATCTGAACACAGAATAGTAGTAATTTCTATAGGCTAGGAGAGGTAGGACAGAATAGAGGGAGACTGGTTAATTAAAAACAAGTCAGAGTAAAGTAGTAATAAGTTGCTAATGTACACAGCTTATCGGGTGACTCCGGTTCACAATAACCTATCACATACTTCGTGAGCATAGCTCCAAAGTTCTAATCATAAAGTAACGTAAAAGAGTGAGAAATGTTGGTTACTCTGATTTGATCTCATTTAAAATGTCGCTCATGGCTGGCATTGCTGCATGACTAGTTAAGCCACTACATGTAATGCCAGAATACCATGTGGGCACCAGTTTGAGTACCAGTCACTCCACTTCCAAGCCAGCTCCCTGCTAATCTGCCTTGGAAATCAGCAGGAGATGGAACATTTGCTTGAGCCCCTGCACCCAGGTGGGAGACCTGGAAGAAGCTCTTGGCTCCCAGCTTCAGACTAAGACCGTCCTGGCCACTGCGGTCATTAGGAGAGTGAACCAAAGGATGGAATCTCTCCATGTGTCTCTCTCTCCCTCCCTAAGTCCACCTTTCAAATAAATAAATAAATCTTAAAAAATATAATGTCAAACCTCCCCTATAAGTATTTACAATTATTGTTAATAATTTTTTGAAAAAATATTTCTAAGATAAGCAAGACATTCATTATTTGTTGCTATTATATTTACATAAAACAGGTGCCAATTTGGGTTCCCTCTTTGGTGTTTCTAGTAGCAAAGCATATTTCCATGCTTAGAAATGCTCTTGTTGAGTCATACTCTGCAGATAACGCTGTATTTAATTTTTAATCTTGTTTATTTTGTAGTTGCCTTTGATCAAAGGTAATATAATCTGACATGGCAGTGCTAATGTCACAAAATGGGTAAAGAATAATATGTCACCAAGACCAAAAAAAGTGAATAAATTGAATAAAGGGGAAGCAGCTGAAAGGAGTGTGAAGGTAGAGCAGGAGTCTTGAGCTTTGGAAGTAAACGAGAGAGACACAGATGGAACGTTCACTAAACCTAACAGTTCTTAAAGATGGAAAAAATGGGTGGTGTAAAAGAAAGGGGCAGAGATACATGGAAGTGATATCATCAGCCCACAGGATCTGAGAGACCTCTAACATGAAGAAACCTAGCTTCAAAATTGTGATCTTCTCTACCTTTCAAAGTTTTATTCTAGCTTCCATGATTCACACAAATCAAACAATTTGGAGCAGGAAAATAAGTTGCAGTCTAAGCAACAGCTCTCCTTCATAATTAATTTTATCACTAAACTCGATGGCGGCTTCTATGAGTGTCTTTCTTCCCAAGACCAATATCCAAAAATCTCAAGATATCCCTGGTAATTTTCTTAATATGCCAAAGAAAATTGATCCAACCGCTTGTGAGCAACGGTTTCTATTTTCAAGCTGATCATTTCTTCAGGGTTTGCTACACCATATACTGCTCAGACATGAAACATATAAATTCATGGCCAGCGCTGCAGCTCACTAGGCTAATCCTCCACCTGCAGCACCAGCACCCCAGGTTCTAGTCCCAGTTGGGGCGCCGGATTCTGTCCCGGTTGCTCCTCTTCCAGTCCAGCTCTGCTGTGGCCTGAGAAGGCAGTGGAGGGTGGCCCAAGTGCTTGGGCCCTGTACCCACATGGGAGACCAGGAGGAAGCACCTGGCTCCTGGCTTCAGATCGGCGCAGCGCACCGGCC